GCCATAGGGCATAAATATTTTGGATAAAAACCCTAATGTGGGAAAGAGACCATAAGTTGCTGCCAACATCAAGGGAGCAAGATTGCCGAGGTTTGTCATCGTCAATATCATTTTGACATTAGCAATTGATAATTTGACACATGTAAACAATAAAATAATATTTTCATAATTTCATGCCTATGAAGCCGCACGGGAACAACTAGTAAGAAATAATTAATAAAGACTACGAAATACCGTTTACAAGTGTAAAATATTTAAAATCGTACTTGCTAGCTTTATTTATAAGTGAAACAGTAATAAAAATAATATTAAAAAAGTGCTTTTATTGATCTTTGTTTTTATTTCAATATGGCAACTCTACATCACTTTGTGCAAATAATATTCTTAGAATAATCTCCTTACAAACATAGATTTTTATTTTTAAAAAAGTGTTCGTTTTTTAAAAACAGAACAAAACATTTTTGAACAAAGATTTTGAAAATGCATTTGTTAAGTAGTTGAAACCATTCGGAGTTGTTCGTAAAAAGGGCGTGAACTTTGACATTAGGTTTCATCAAAGAGAAAAAGCTTTTAAAGTTCCTTTGTTCAATGTACGAACATATATACATCCAAATGAATGTATAAATACACAGAGAACCAGTGTATAGGTTATAAAAAATTCTAACCATCATACTAACATACTAATATTATAAATGCGAAGGTTTAGATGGATGTTTGTTAGAGTTAGTAGCCCAAACGGATCAACGGATTTCGATGAAATTTGGTATAGATGTAAAGGATAGTGTGGAAGAAAACATAGGCTACTTTTGTTTTTTTATTCCATGCGGACGGAGTCGCGGGGGAAAGCTAGACATAACTACTCTTTGTATATTATTCTTAAATACACATCCAAAAAGACAATGACTTTATGAGTTTTTTCAAGGCGAATGTTATTTATACAAAGTATGTAGTTAATAGTTTTAACAATAATTACCGTCAAATATCTGCCAATTTATGAAAAAACTGATTGAAACTGTACTGTTGTTTAGAAAGTAAATTCAAGTTTTTACGATTGTTTCGCAAAAAAAAATCTATTTTGTCATTTCAATGTAACTTAGAATAGCACGATCGAATCGGTTGTTTTGTTTCTAAACCGCAATAGGAATTGTTAGAAAGTTTCATTTGTTACTTCCTACATTTTGATTGTGAAAACTTTTAACTTTTTAACACAAAATAATGATACTGATTTACTTATATTACAAATGCTATTTTGGATAAAATTTGGAAATTACTACATCAACCATTCAATGAATTTTTCTTCCAATTTATCTTAAACATTTTTTTACTAGATGGCTGAAATAGCGAGCATCATTCTATAATTTAAAAAAAAAGATTTGTTACTTACTCTATGATAGATAGTCATAGCAATTGATACCTAATAACGTATCATATACAGGTGATAAAAAAATAATAAAAACATTTTAAATTATTACGCATATACGTTATTTTTCAAATAAAAGAATTCTAAACATAATTCCATTGGCCTCGAAATAAGAAACCATAATAGCAAACCTTACACGCGTCAATTTAACCTCAAAAGATAGATGAATGGTTTAGCATTATTCCGGGGGTCGGATTGCGTCAGTAGTTCAGTTAAAAAAACATAACAGCAGTAGAGCTAAAGCTTACACGAAGAACATAATAAACAATTAAATTATAAGAATGCGTTGACATAGACAGGGAAAGCCCTAAGCAGACTTTTCGTCTTGTTTCATATATTGATAACTTATTTATAACTAAAAAAATATATACTCCCAGTGGATTGAAATTACTAAGTATTATGATCTATCATTATTACTTAATATCAACTTAATACAAAGTTGCATAACTGCATATTACATACGTAACTTAACCGTCTTCTCGTCTAAGCAATAAGTAACCGCACATCACGGAAATAAACTTACATATTCATTTCTTGTCAATAACTTAATATAGAGTAGTACATATAAAACCGCTTATAATCATGATGAAATATTTTAAATTAAACTAGCTGTTGCTTGCGACCTCGTCCACGTAAAATATAGCAAAAATATAGCCTTAAGGATAACGTAGATTTTTAATGGTAAATGTTTTTTTTAAATCTACCCAGAAGTTTTTGAGTTATACAAAACAAAACATAAAAATATTCAGAAATAGAAATCTGTCCTTTTTATTATACTAGCTTGCGCCCGCGAATCCGTCTGCGTGTAATTAAAAAAAACCAAAAGCCCATATGTTCTTTCAGACAATCCTCTACATCTATACCAAATTTCATCGAAATCCGTTCAGCCGTTTAGGCTACAAAGTCTGACAAACATCCATCAATCCATCTACATTTTCGCATTTATAATATTAGTAAGGTTAGTAAAATTAGATTGTAATAACTGATAGACATTTGTGGGTCGGTCGCTTCGCTTTTTGGGCGAATTCAGGTGGCCATTCTCCCGTTTGCCACTTTATAAAAATAATTGATAGACGCTAAAATATTCTATTGTTCCTCGCATTTATACTGTGGTCAGTCTTAGTCTTAGTTTTAGTCATCATAAATTAAATAAATAATATAAATCATAACCTTAATCTTGTGGTTTTTCGTAGGCACAATATATGTTACTTATATGAATGTAAAATAAATTCAAAAACCTTTATCAATAACCGCAAAACATACGTTACACAAAATAGAATTGCCAAGTATTGAATTTTTAAAGGGAAAAATACGATTTTTTTCCTGTTATTGACCAAGAAATTTTGTAGTTTTAGGAATGTCTTGTTATTAACCGACGGTTTTATTCATTGTCCGTTTATAAAAAAATTACAAATGATGGGTTCCTCGAAAACATATTTTTTTAAAACATTGGCTTTGAAAGAGAGGAAAAAGAAAATATTTTTAACATTATCATCTTTACCCGTACATTTAATAAATCACAAACGTTTTTTCAAAAACGTAACCTCAAAATGAAGCATTCGTACGTGGAAGGCAGAACAAGTTCGAAGACATGCAGTCATTCTTGTTTTAAATTTTGCCCGGTTTTTATACAAGCCAGTATTCTCGGAAAGCGTTTAATTTCGCCAGGGATTGTAAAAAGGGAAAATTGAGCATACCGTTTTGTATTTTACATTACATTTTTCAATCAAGATAATTGTTATAAGGATACTTGTTTTTGTAATATTATAAATGCGAAAGTTAAGAAGGATGGATGTTTGTGAGAGTTTGTAGCCTAAACAGCTAGACGGATTTTGATGAAATTCGGTATAGATGTAGAGGATAGTCTGGAAGAAAACATAGGCTACTCACTTTTGTTTTTTTTTTTAATTCCGCGCACGGAGTCGCGGCTGTAAACTAGTATATAATAAAAGTATCTTATATGAGTTATCAAAACGTTGGAAATGAAAAAGCGTGATTTACATCATCATGTATTTAATGGAGCTCCCTTAGTGACCACGTGACTCTAGATTAAGCAAATAGTATACCAAATGAATACAAATCATTATGCTTTTTCAAAGACAATAAAATCTGTTAGATTGTCATTAACGATACATAAAACTTTTAATTAAGCTTATTTTGTACTGCTAATATTGATTACCATTTTTTTGTACATCGATTAAAAGCTTTCATTAACAGTCCACGTGTATGTTTTTTTAATAATGCGTTAGTAACTAAGATATTGGGCGCTCGACGCGTGTGACGTAGGAATTTTCGTGAAGACGCAAGTGGCGCCAAACGAGGGGTTGGAGGTGGGAGCGATCGATGCGCCCACGTGTTCTATCTGATGCAATCTCCACAGATTATAACATAAACATTCAATTAAGAAAAAATCAAAGCTGCCAGTATCTTTTTTATAATTTCTTTTACATTGCGTTGGATTGGATTTTCGTTTTTTTTATTAATATTTTAAATGCGAAAGTTTATATGGATGTTAGAATAATATAACTAATCATTTGATAATTCATGACCATTTAGTTAGAAAATTCTAGGATTATATTCCTAGAATTTTTATCTTTTATTGACAAAACATTACCTAATTACTTTCGTACATAATTAATTCTAGGAAGTATTTGTACTGTTTTAATTTACACTAATATTATACGAATAAACTTAAATGATTGTTAAAGTTTATATGCAACTAGCTTTCGCTCGCGACTTCGTCCGCGTGGAATCAAAAAAAGATAAGTAGCCTACGTGTTCTTCCATACTATCCTTTACGTCTATGCCAAATTTCATAGAGATTTGTGAAGCCGTTTAGGCTACATACTCTAACAAATATCCATCCATCTATAATATGGATTCGCATTTATAAATAATAATAAGATTATTATTCTTTGTCCCAGATCAACAAAGATTATATGACAGAAATATCAGGTGTAAAAAATTTAAAAGCCGTGCGAAGCAATAAGAAAAATCTCAATACTCAGATAACAATTATATGAATTTTTAATTCATAATTTAAAACAACATTGTATTCAGTTGCAATGCCAGATTACTTGACTTTAATAAATATGAATTAAAATAACGATTGACATTTATTGCGTGTCTACAAGAATGAAGATCGGCCGTCTTATATTAGAATTTAATAAAGTCGTTCCAAGTTTTAGAGCTTGATTGACTTTTGATAGCGAAATATCAAAATGATGCAATCTTAAAACCGTAAGATCGAAGTTATCTTTAATTATAATTACACTATTTTTTTTTTACATTTACAGGGACTATGGCTGGCTGATATCAAATTATTTATAATTCAGACGAAAATATGATAGGAAATAGATGTTTCTTGTTATATTTAGAGCTTTTTACTCTGTGGCAAAAAATGCGGTAGTGAAATAAATAATCGTGAAATTCTTTGCAATAAAAGGTTAAATCCGGCTTTTAAAATATGCAATATTATTTATTAAATACTTATAATATGTCTAAATGTCATAGGTCAAATAAAAAAAAATATCGTGTGCACATAGACATAATATCAAACAAAATTCAATTTTGGACTTACATTTTGAAATCTTTTTCGTAACTTCACGTAATCGAATTAAAAAAAAAACACTTCACAAGATTCCCGCGCTTTTCGAGGCGAGCGACTTTGCCCGCCAACACGGATCGCGAGACTGCCGTGCGCCATTTGTTAGAATGAGACAGCAAAACTCTGTTACCTTGGCGTGAAAGAGAAAAGTATACTTTCGTATTGAACGAAAACTAGGGGTAGTACGCGGGGTTGTAAGTATTCAGCCATGCAAAATTATTTAATTGAATATTAAAAAAAAAACAAAAAGCAGTAAAACTTTTTTATTGTTTTGTAAAATATTATTATCAACATTTTTAATAGTACTATAGTTACTTTTATGTGAAAGTATGTGAAGGTAAAGTTAAAAAATAAATAGGCATATGAAAAAAAGTTTTTGTAGACGAAATATTGTAAACGTTTTGTAAAAAAAGTTATTAAAAATCACGAGAAAATCTTAAAGAATTGTTAGATTTAAACAATGTTTGTGCACAGTTATAACAACAAGCAATTTTTGAAGCTCTGATAAACATTTCTAAGTTCCACTTTCTACACATAGTCATGATGGATGTATGGCAAACTCCCATTGCGTTGTAATTTACTTCATCAATGACAAAATTATTAAATCTAAACTTGTAAACTAACCTGTGTTTTACGAGAGCAGAATAATAACTTTCGCCTAAAGCATTTCATACAATAAAAATGTTTTTTTCTTGTCTGGTCGACATATTTGAGATAGCTTGATTTTAACTGTCATTCACGTTCAAGGATTAAAAATTATGCATCATATCAGATTTAAAATTACTAAGTTCTTGCATCACAACGATGTTAATAATCCCAAATAAGCTCACTTAAGCTAAGGCGCTTGCGTACCTTACACAAAATTTGTCAACTAATGCTAAACACATAATATATCTATACTTTAGTTTGTGTACTACTTTACTTTAGTAAGCAATTATATTGAGGACATGTTATTAGAATTTAGTATTTAAAAATAAACTCTTAGATCACCACTATGAACTTAAAATCTAAAACCAGTAGATACATAATGTTAGAAGAAAACTTAAGTCGTGTTAAGAAAATCGGAAGTATAAATACAAAATATCGGCGTTTTCTTCCATTTTAGGATTACGAATTCAAAAAGCGTGTTTATTTATTTTTAAATAATTAACGGTTTTATAGGCTTATACTCTTTGATTAAAATATTTTTTGTAAGGGCAACATTTGGACTGAAAGAAGGAAATTGTCAATTTACCAATGACAGATGACAAAGTTATCAATTATCAAATTCAAATGATAAACATAAAAATTTAAATAAGCATAACTATTGACGTTGTTAATAAATTGCTATAGTTAATTAATTTTAAAATACTGTAATTTCTCAGCTTTGAAATAAAACTTTATTCATAATTTGTTCAGTGTAAAAATTTATTCGTGCTTTTAGTGAACTTGGCTATTGAAAAGTTAAAAGTGTTATAAAACCCCTTATTAATGAATTAAAAATCAAAATTCAAGTTACATAATCTTGTGAAACCGACCGTTAACTAACAAGTGGCTCTACAATACTAAAATGATTGAAATAAATCGAATTTTAGTGTTATATGGTAGTCAAACATTTACAGCCCAAGAAATAGCTGAAAGAATATGGCGAAAGACAAAAGCTCTCGGGTTCAAAGGTCCTGTTCTGGCTATGGACGATTACTCTATACCCCAATTGATTCATGAGAAGTTTGCTATATTTGTAAGCGCAACAACAGGGCAAGGAGATGAGCCTGACAATATGAAGAAGTTCTGGAAGTTTCTATTAAGAAAAAACTTACCTTCGAACTCATTGAGGAATCTTAAATTCGGTGTGATTGGACTAGGTGACTCGTCATATGAGAAATTTAATTTTGTTGGGAAAAAACTCAACAAGAGATTAATACAATTGGGTGCAACACCACTCTTAGATGTTGGTAAGTAATGTAATATGCTAGAAATCAGCTAGCAATAGTGTATACAGAAATAGTAACAAATATTGAGTATCGGTTTCTCGAACTGTATGACTACCATATGTTTTGTGGTAGGACATGAATTACTTAGCCAACTTAACTTATCTAAGACTCCAGCATCAAGTATTATAAGTTACAATATTACAACCTATCTGTATCTTAAATTTTGTTAATGTTCTTTTAAATCCCCTAGAAGTGGATTTGACAATGGAGGGGACATAAAGATAGGGAAATACCTTTTTATATATGTCTCCTCCATAGATCAAGGGTAGGCAATGCATCTAATCAGATGTCCTCAGACAGCGATCATATCTTTAATCCTCCAAATTAAGATGGCCGCTGATTTTCTACATAATTATATATAAAAAACTATAGCTATTAAATTATATTTAATTGTCTTTTACTATAGTTTCTATTTTCTTGATATCTCCTTAAATTATTCATTTATTTCAGGTCTGTGTGATTATCAACATGATTTAGGCCATGATGCTGTTTTAGAGCCATGGCTGGATAATTTTTTTATTGAACTCAAAGAATATTTACCTGATATAAAGACAAGTAATTTAAATGACAATTTTATTCCTAAATGGAAAGTATCATTAATAAAGAACAAAGAGAGTACTTTTAATAGTATTGATTATGAAGATATTTATTTTGCAAAAGGACAAAGAAATGATTATTTGGAACCAAAGTTTTTAACAGTAGAGAGAAATGTAAGGACTACCCATGAGACACATTTTCAGGTATGTTTAATTTCATTCTAAAGAATAAAAAAGTCAGAAAAAACTGAAAAACAACTGGCAACCCTTAATAACTTTATTTTACATGTTTTTAGGATGTGAGACTGATCACATTCAGATCAAATAGTGATGAAAAATTAGAATTTAAACCTGGTGATATATTCAATATACGACCAAGAAACTCTAAAGAAGATATTGATGATTTGTTCGGCATATTTCAAAGTCATTGTATAGATATAAAACCTCATTATAAACTTTTAGTTGAAGAATATCATGATGGTAAGTTGAAATACGTCTAAATTATTTTACTCATAACCGATTAATCGCTATCAAAAGTTATTTTTCAATTAAATTTCATAAAATGTTAGCAAAAGTTTTTTTTATTCTTTCCGAAGATCAGTGCTGCACGTTTTTTAATCTTTGTAATTAAAAAGACCGGGACAATTTTTGAAATGGCAACATTAAACAAAAATGTCAATGTCAAACAACACGTGTTGTTGACATGCGCGTCCGGGAAATGTTATTTTTATGAAAATACAACTTTATTGCGGTATTCTTTAAAATAAATATTTTACTAGAGTTGTAAAAAAAATTATCAATAATGTTGCGAAGGCAGGCGCGTTTGCGCCGCGAATACTTGTATAGAAAATCAGTTGAAAACAAACAGAAAAGTATACAAGCGAAAAAAGATCAATTAAAAAGAAGTTTAGAAGAAAACATTCCTATCCATGGTGATTTAAGAAAAGAAGCTCTCGCTTTACAAAAAAGGATAGAATTTGAAGATAAAGGTAAGTTACATTTATTAAATTGTTATATTTTCTCTAATGTTAACCTCAAAAGTATGTGTTTTTTGAAGAGATATATACCAAATTAAAAAAATAAATCATAGCTTATAATTGAAAACGACGATAGACGGTGTAAATCGTGACGCAAAGAATGTTGAATGTTGGAAATCGGTAGCTACTAACAGACTGAAGTGGAAAAAATTGCTTGACCAAGCCAAGGCCCACAAAGGGCTGTAGAGCTAAGGAAGAAGAAGAAGAAGATAATTGAAAACTATGTTACAAATTAGTTATGCTCAATAAAAAAGCATTTATCCTTAAAAAATATGTCTAAACTTTTAAAACTAAAAAATTATCACAGGTCCTGAAAAAGCTGCAGTTATTGGTGGGTTTAGTGGAGGAGCAAATACAGCTAATTCTCAAGATGATGAGTATAGATATGCAGGAGTTGAGGACCCAAAGATCATGATCACTACATCCAGGGAACCAAGTGCAAGACTAAAGATGTTTGTGAAAGAACTCAGGTGAGTAAAAATCGTTAATTATCTTATTTAGTATTACCATTGTTGGAACAAATAATTGGCACATCTTACTAATGTTATAATGTTCCTTTTGCCCACATCTCTGTCCAAGTGGAAAAAAAAAAAAACAAAAATGAGTAGCCTATATGTTCTTCCAGACTATCCTCTACATCTATACTAAATTGCATCAAAATCTGTTTAGCCGTTTACACTACAAACTGAAACAAACATCCATCCATCCATTTAAACTTTTGCATTTATAATATTAATAAGATTAGTAAGATATGAAAGTGTAAATGGATGGATGTTTGTTACTATGTAACTCCAACATGTATCAACTAATCTTGACAATATTTCGACATTTGTTCAAAACAAATGTAGAAATATTGTCTTGGGTCAGTCATGAAAAAAATGCTATCAGGAATGTTGTCTATTCTTCTAATGTTATTAACATTAAAGAACAATTCCAAAATGATGAAAAAACAAAATACTACCTATCTACAGTAAGATAAAATATGTATTGCTAAAAGATTTCTTTTTTAATAAATTTTTTTTAAACAAAATAGTACATCCTATATGCACTCAGGTGATAACACAGAACCAGTACTATACTAGTGGCGCAAAAAATGTGTATGGCGAGCGCACGTTATTATACCAAGATTAGTAAATGAACTACCCTCACATTTAATAAAAGGGATAACACTTAAAACATTATGTATAAGTTAAAAGAATACTTATTTACTTAAGCCACGGAAACGCTATTGTAAAACCACTAAGGTTTATTTAGCGTTTTACTAAATAAAAATAGTTTCAAGACAATTTTGTATTGTTATAAGCAAATAAAAATAAGTTGCAATTAATTTTCAAATAAGTTTAAAATCGCAAATTCTTATAAATTTCAGGTTGATATTCCCGAACAGTCAGCGTATGAATCGTGGTGGTTATGAGATGTCTCAGCTCATACACGCTTGCAGAGCTAATGATGTTACAGACTTTATTGTGGTTCATGAACATAGAGGTGTCCCGGATAGTCTGGTAAGCTTACTGCATTTTAATTGCCATGTCTATTTACTTGTTAACTCTGTACTACTTAGAGCACTGTTTTGACTACTTTTGTGCTGGCTTTAAAATATTCAGAATCTTGAAAGAGGCCTTTTCATTACCTTATTTTTTTTATAATATAAAGTGGCAAACGAGCAAGTGGCCACCTGAATCCGAAATGGAAAGCAACCGCTGCCCATAAACATCCGCAATAGCAGATGCGTTGCCTACCCTTCATTGACGAAGGAGAAGACGCACATAATAGGATATTTCCCCTTCGTATGCGTCTCCTCCACCGTAAAATCCACTTTTCCTTTCCATCCTTTCCTCTTAAGAAAAGGGTGGAAAGTGAAAGGAACTAAAGCACATGACTAACAATGGGTAATGTTTTTAGTGTATGTAGGTTTGTTATGTAAATACCTTTGTAACCGGCTGCAGCCTAAATAACTGAACAGATTTTGACATATAAGGTATTATTCCATTAGTGTTCTTACCGAGAGTGTTATAAGGTATATAAGATTGGTACAAAATACCTCTAGTGTACGTGAGAATTCAAATTCTAAAAACATAGCAAGAAAAAACAGTTAGATTCTCACCAAGCATAACTTTTTACCTATTCTAAATGATATTTTCCATGTTTTAGAGTTTAAATAATGGTTATTTCTCTTATCAAATTATAGTTAAATATAGGAGAACGTTAGTTATGAGTGTGGAGGTACATCGGTAGAAGTAGACATAGAAAGAGATGGATGGATTATGTAAAAGGTGATATGATCAAAAAGGGAGTGATGACAGATGACGTATGATAGAGTTATGTGGAGGACAAAAACCTGTTGCGCCTACCCAACGGGAATAGGATAAGGAGATGATGATGATGATGATAGATCAAATTGCATAATCCATTTTATCTCATATTTATAAATAGAAGTATATTTTGTAAAATTAACTTTTTCTCTTATAGGTAATATGTCACTTACCTTACGGTCCGACGGCGTCGTTCACGTTGTCAGGTGTGGTGATGAGACATGACATACCTGACATCGGCCCCATGAGTGAGCAGTACCCGCATCTCATATTCCATAACTTTAAGACGGACCTCGGTGAGTTGAAATAATAAATTGACCGCTTGAAATTCAATATCTGAAATTTGGTGAAATTGTCACGTTTAAAGTTAACTGCATAATAATTTTGCTTTTTACTAATTTTATAAATTCGAAAGTTTAGATGGATGGATGTTTGTTAGAGTTTGTATTCTGAACTGCTGAATGGATCTTGATGAAATTTGTCATAGATGTAGAGGATAGTCTGAAAGAACATAGGTATACTTTTTTTTTAATTCCATGCGGACAGAGTCGCGGTCGAAAGCTAGTATTACAAAAAAATTGTATGGAGATACATTTTAAATGACTCATTAGATCTTTATGAGCAATGGCAAACGAGTAGGCATCTGAATCCACCGAAATGGAAAGCGACCGTTGCACATAGACATCCGCAATTGCAGATGCGTTACCTACCCTTCATTGACGGAGGAGACGCACATAAAGAGGACATTTCCCCTTCCCCTGCGTCTCCTCCACCAAATCCACTTTTCCTTCCCATCCTTTCCTTTTAAGAAAAGGATGAAAAGGGACTTAAATTAGGCCTCCGGTATTAGATGTAGAGCAGTCTGGAAGAACACATACTTTTATTTTTCTTTTAATTGGCTATTATTCAAAATAATCTATGGGCAATGGTCGCTTTTGTTTGTGTGTTTCCTACATTAAAATATTTTTATTTTTAGGAATACATTTAGTTGTATAAAAATAGGTATTTAATAGTAAAATACTACTTTTCAGGTTTAAGAACGATGAGTATTTTGAAGTATTTGTTTCCGGTGCCCAAAGCAGACTCGAAGCGAGTGATTACATTTGCTAATAATGATGACTATATTTGTTTTAGACAACATACATATAAAAAGGTAGCATTTTTTTTTATTTTATACAAAATAATGTGTTTTTTCAATGTTTTCAACATAAGTGTTATGTTTTGACTTTTGTCTAAGGTTACTATGAAAATTTCTTTGTTTTGAAATCACAATTATATGTATTTAGTTAAATATTTTATTGATTGAGACAGAATTTTAACTTTTAAAAGTGTATATTTCTGTATATGTATGTAATAGGGGATATGCTTGTATTTTTTCCTTTTTTTAAACGATTCTACTTGTTATAAAATAACCAGAAAAAAAAATTGACGCGAAAATATTCAGTCATTGAGCTAAAAATAATAAAATAGGATTACGACCATTTTCGAGCGACTAAAACGCGACCGGAGTTGTCATGAGACAATTGACGTCAATCGTCATATTCCATTCATAACATACACTCAGATGTCACTTCGATGTAAAACACAACAAAGTTTCTCAAGGTCAGAAAGTCAAAAATCGATTCACTTTTAATAATTCCTGGTACAAATAAGTGGTAATTAATAATTCTATTCATTAATTTTTTATTTTGAAGTTGGTTTTGATATCGTGTTTACAGTAAAGTACTTCAAGAGTGTATTTCTATATGAACTAACGTAAATGAACTGTGTATTGTCAACAAGCGACGCCATATTAGATAAGCCACTTGCTTCGACCAATAGTGTGCGTTTTAGAACTTATTGAATAAAGTCATTATTTAATGATTAAATTTTGCCACTAAATCACATTATATTAAAAAAAATCTTTGCAGGAATATTTTAAAGCAATAAAGTATACTTAAAAAAAGTTTGGTACAATTTGGCGTCATATGCATATTACCTATTAGTACCTATTAGTACCAGTTATATATTACTTTAGTAGGAATAATCCAGCTGAAAGACAGCACTGGAACGGCTTAGTCCCTGCATACTAAGCTGGCTACCTTTTGCCACGATTATGTTTTCTTTAGAATAAATTCTTTTATCTAATTCCTATTTTGTGGCAATAAATACATATTCATTCATTCATTCATTCATTCAACTGAACAGTTCTGCTGACATTTAAAATTTTAATTAAATTTATATGTTATATATATTATAATATTTTGATGTTTTTATTGCAATTTAAATAAATTTGTTGGTTTGTAAATAATTGTTGTTAATTTTAAATGTTTCAGGCCGGTAAAGATATAGAATTGACAGAAATAGGTCCCCGATTCCAAATGAAGTTGTATGAGATAAAACTGGGCACATTAGATGCCCTGGAGGCTGCGGACACGGAGTGGGCGCTCCGCCCCTACATGAACACGGCTGCCAAACGAAGATTCCTAAGCGATGAGGACGGCTGGCAGGAGGAACAATAAAATATTACTTAAATTATGTGTTTTTATTTAAAAATTTACTTTTCTTAAGCAATATACCTATATTGGGCTGTTAAAAATCCATATTTTGATTATAACTAACTGTTGTCCGCGACTTCGTCCACGCATTGTTAAGAAAAAAAAGTTGCGTTGCCGAAAATGGCCCAGCCGTTTTGGACATTACACCGTTAAAAAGCTACAGAATCGCTTAACATAGGCTATAATTTCTCGTGGACAAAGACGTGAGCAACAGCTAGTTATTAATATTTTTCTTTGAAGTAATATAGTCTGTTACATTCCAGACATGTCTGTACCAGACTTTTTACAAGAACCCCTAACTTTGTATGAAATAGCAGAACAGTATTGGGATTTAAGAGCGTATCCCACTCAATATGTCTTCTCTCTTCTGGCGCTAGTGTCGCAAGATCAGTTAGAAAGAGACAAATGTAAAGAGCTCAGTTCCGCTGCAGGACAAGAGGAGTGGTTGAATTATTGTAGGCGACCTCGTAGAACTATTTTAGAGGTTAGTATTTTTAGCTGAGGATATTGTGTTCTCTTTCTAGTGAGGGTTGGTTTATAAGTGAGAAAGAGAAAACTACATTCTGTTGCTAAAAGTGTAATTTTTACTAATATTTGGTACATAGTTATTTTACACTGATTCGTTTATTTTGTTTTTGTATTTAAGCCATCAAGGACTTCAATAATTTTGTAAAATTTAGCTTTTTTATACCAAATCATGTTTTATTCAAGATTTATTAAATTGATCATGTGTTTTTTAATCCAGGTTCTACATGATTTCCATAAATCGACTTCTAAGTTAACCATAGACATTTTATTCGAATTATTCTCAACCATAAAGCCGCGTTCTTTTTCTATCGCAAGTAGCGCGTTATTAAATGGAGGTTATTTTGATATTCTTGTCGCTGTTGTTAAATATAATACAAAATTAAAGAAACCAAGACTCGGTTTGACATCAAATTGGCTCAAAGATTTGAAAATCGGCGATAATGTCTATGGTTGGATTAAAAACGGCACTTTCAAGTTTCCTGATGAGGTAAGTCCTTTTAGGGGTAGACAGCGATAGAAATTAAAAAAAAATAAGCACCGGGTAAAGATTTTATTATTCAAATCTGTTTTTTTTTAGTTTGATGTAAAAAATTTTGAAGTTCTTTTATTAAGAAAATGTTTACTAAAGTTATGGCTAAGATTATTTTCCTATATCATAATTTTAAAATAAAAAAAGTGTGAATTTTACTCGCCATATTTTTTTATAATTACTAAATTTTTGGATGTATTCGAGTAGACGATTCAGTCAATCGAGTTTTTTTGCGTTTTTTAACTATTTTAAATGACTTTTTTCTAGAATGTTCCGCAAATACTTATAGGACCTGGTACAGGGTTAGCGCCATTTAGAAGTCTGTTACAAGAGAGAGTTGCGCAAAATATCGCTAGAAAAGAAATATATCATTTATTCTTCGGCTGTCGATACAAAGATAAGGATTTTCATTGTAAAGAAGAATTAGAGAAAATGGTAGAAGAAGGGAAAATAAGTTTATATTGTGCGTTCTCTAGAGATCAGGATAATAAAATGTAAGGGAATAAGTTTTCTAAGTTAAGTTACGTAGACCCTTAGTGTCATGTGTGGTGGCTTTTGGTAGCTTTATAAATATCACCAGCTCACTATAGGTCCCCACCGAGGGGCTCGGAGCCTACCCTAAGTTAGTGACTAGGCTATCTCTGAATTTCTTCGCCGATATGTGCAGGCATCACGATGTTTTCCTTCACCGTAAGAACGTCGGGTAAATTATGTACATATGAAAATTCGAAAATATCAAAAATCACATTGATACATGGCGGCGGGATTCGAACCCAAGACCTCTAGATTACAAGTCAAGTGCTTAAACCACTGAGCCACCGACGCTTCTAAATGACGCTTATAAATATGGCAGATTTTATTTTCAATTCATTAAATAAACATTTTTATGCGATTAATATGATAAAATCATGACTTTTTAATTTTAAAACTTAAAAATAATCAGTTTTTTTATAGTTATTTTTTACATTTAATATGGGTTTGAATTTTTATTAATGGTAACCTTTTTCTACAGTTACGTGCAACATAAAATATCCGAACACGGAGATAATCTATGGAAGCTAATAAAATATGGCGGCTGTATTTTTATATCCGGCAACTCAAAGAATATGCCGGATAACGTCAGAGATGCTTTTAAAGATGTTTTCAGTGAAATTGGACATTTAAGTGAAGAAGAATCGAAAGAAATGTTGCAAATGTTAGAAAAAACTGGCAGATTACAAGTTGAGACTTGGTGATGTTAATTTGTGTTAAGAAATTGTGATAACAAAATAAAAATTATTTATTAAGTTAGCTAAATGTATCTAGGATTTAAAATGAGTTTCTTTTTCTAACTTGTAATTTTTTGTAAAAATATAATATAATGTCACAAATTTTAATGTTTTATTTTTATATTTTTATACAATAAAGAACTTTTCCCGTGCGGCTTCATCCGCTTTAGGCTACGGATCAAGCTATTCAACGTAGGGGGTAAATAAATTGGAAAACTTCGTGGGAATGGGACCAAAAATGGTGTTGCCATGGAAACGGTTATTGTCTAATGTCAAAGGCCTTCGTTATCTGTGAATTTTAATTTCGACATTTGCAATTGAGAATTTGACAAATGTATACAATAAAATAAAATTTTATGCGGATGAAGCCGCACGAGAACAGCTAGTATTAGTATAGAAATAAAAATAGGTTTTAAAATGAAACAACTTTATTTTGAGATAAATTTATTCTTAATATTTTAACATTACTTTAAAACATAATTACTACAAAACTCATATATTTTCAATGAGGTATGAGGTAGTATTACTACCCAGCATGCACACTTAGATATCCATTTTTAGATAGTGTAGGTAGTAAAAGCTACCCATTGTGTTAGGTATAATAAGATTCAAACTTAACAACGGCTCGAGACGCAGAATATTAAAAGTTTTATCATGAAATAAAATTTAAAGAGCTAACCGAAAAGTCAAAAATCTATGTAATCATATTAATATTATAATGGAATGGACAAATAAGTATATATATATATATAT